TAAACCCTAAAACAAGATAGAAGGAGGCATGCAAAAGGGTTTGATGCTACAGACCTTGTTAGCCGCCTGTCTAACCGCCTCCAGCTGGAGAAATGAAAGAGAATTCATCTTCACCCTAAACCCTAAAACCTAAACCCTAAAACCTTGAGCCCTAAACCCTAGAGCCCAAACCCTAAACCCTAAGCCCTAAACCCTGAACGCTAGAACTTAAACTTTGAACCCTCGACCCTGATAAGCCTTAAAGCCTAAACCGTAAGCCGTTGATCCTAAACCCTAAACCCTAAACCCTAAACCCTAAACCCTAAACGGTGGAAGTTCAGGAGTAGGGTTTGAAGTTAAACAAGGAAAAGAGAAGCAGACAATCTGTTGAAGGTGAAGAAAAGATAATATTTTTTAGGGTTTGAAACCCAGAGATAGAAGACTGTACGGGTATAACGCCTAAATATTTAAGTTAAATATAATTAAATTATTTAATTAAAAAGAAAATCATCGCAAAAGAGAGAAACAACAAACGAAAACAAGAGAGAAGGCTTCTCTATACACATTTCAGCAACCAGCAGCAGCAGCAGCAGCAGCAGCAGCAAAGATAAACCCTTTTAATATATTTAAAACAGCAAAATTAATTCTTTTATTTAAAAAATTAATTATATTTTCGTATTTATTTCTTCTTTTTTGCTTAAAATATATAACAACAACCACACTCCGCATACAAAACCCTAACACCCCTTCCCCAAGTGACCTCAGCCGCTCAAACCCCCACAGACCTTAGGGTTTAGGGTTTAGGGTTTAGGGTTTAGGGTTTAGGGTTTAGGGAATAGGGTTTAGGGTTTAGAGTTCAGTGTTTAGGATTTAGGGTTTAGAGCTTATGGTCTAGTGTTTAGGGTTTAGGGTTTAGGGTTTAGGGTTTAGGGTTTAGGGTTCGATATACAAAGGGAGTGTATTCTTTAATGATTCCAGCGTATACTGTCTTCATTCTGTTTATTTTTATGTTTGTTGAGGTGCGCATACACCTCAGCATTCTCGTTTATTTATTTTTTATTTATATTCTTCTTTTTGCCTTCCCTTCATCAAAACAAACTAAAGGCGTCGCTCCCAGCAAAAAAACAAAAAGCCAACAGCTGCTAATTAGTAAATAACTGCAGCAGCAGCAGCAGCTGCTGCTGCTGCAGCAGCAGCTGTTGCTGCTGGTGCTGCTGTTGCTGTTACTGGTGCTGCTTGGGGTTGTTCTATGCTGCAGCAGCAGCAGCTGCTGCTGCTGCTGCAGCTGCAGCTGCTGTCAGTGGGGGGCCTCCACACTGCAGGGAAGAGGGCCCTTCGCCTTACGGAGAGAGAAGGACATTTTAGAACAGGTTGTGCTGCTTGCTGTTGCTGCTGCTGCTGTTGCTGCTGCTGCTGTTGCTGCTGCAGTTCATTGCTGCTGTTGCTGCTGCTGCTGCTGCTGCTGATGCTCTTAAAATTGGAAACTGCAGCAGCAATCTGCTTCCGATGCTCCTGTAAGCTTCTCTCGCGTTCTTTATAGAGATACGAACACTCGTGCTGCTGCTGCTGCTGTTCCTGCTGCTGCTGCTGCTGTGGCGGCGGCTGTTGCTGCTGCTGCTGCTGTAGCTGTTGCTGCTGCTGAGTGACGGGCGAGGGATTTTCGCTGGAGTTGTTGCCTGTGCATGGCGCTGTTTCTGGTGTTGCTGCTGCTGGAGCTGCAGCAGCTGCTGCAGCATCAGCAGCAGCTTCGTACTCCGGCCATTCCTTTTGCAGCAAATCCCTTTGCGGCTGTTGATCTTGCTGCTCCCGCTGCTGCTGCTGCTGCGCCTGCTTCTGGTGCTGTTCATGCTGCAGCTCCCGCTTCTGGTGCTGCTCCTGCTGCATCTGTTGGTGATGTTGCTGCTGCTGCTGCGGCTGCTGTTGCTGCTGCGCAACGGCGCATTTCATTTGGTGCTGCAGCAGCAGCTGATTTCTCTCGTGGGGAAGCAAATGCAGCGAAGACTGCTGTTGCTGCTGTCGCTGCTGCTGCTGTTGCTGCTGCTGTTGTTGTTGCTGCTGCTCCTCGTCCTGCTGCTTTTCCTTCCACTCTTGTGTTTGTTGCTGCTGCTGCAGCAGATGCTGCTGCTGCTGCTGCAGCTGCTGCAGGCGCCCGTCGGAATTGGATGACCGAAGCAACTCTTCCTGCTGCTGCTTCTCCTGCCGCTGTTGTTGCTCGCCTTGCTGCTGCTGCTCCTGCTGTTGCTGCTGCAGTTGCTCGAGCTGCTGCTGCTGTAGTATCTGCTGCTGCATGTGGAGAGAGTCATTTGCTATCCCTGTCACAAGTGCGCAGCAGTATAATCCTGCTGCTGCTTCTGCTGCTGCTGCTGCTGCCAATTCCGGGGGGCTGCTGCTGCATGCATCCTGCAGGTGCAGCAACTGCTGCTGCTGCTGTTGCTGTTCGGCGCCGACTGCAGCGCTGCAGTGTACACGCATGCACCCATTTCCGTAGCAGTAGCCCTGGCCCCTGCTGCGGCTGCTGCTGCTGCTGCTGCTGTTGCTGCTGTTGCTGCTGCTTCTACGGGAAGTGATGCAGCTACCGCGGCGCATAGCCCTATATGTTTGCTGCTCCTGGAGTTCCTTTTGGTGGTGCTGCTGCTGTTCCTGCTGCTGCTGCTGTTGTTGCTGTTGTAGCTGCTGCTGCAGCTGCTGCTGCAGCTGCTGCTGCAGCTGCTGCTGCAGTTGTAGCTGTTGTCCGTTGTGACACTCGTATTGAAGTTGCTGCTGCTGCTGCAACTGCTGCTGCTGCTGCAACTGCTGCTGCTGCTGGTGCAAATGGTGCTGCTGTGCATGTGTCTGCTGCTGCTGTAACGGCTGTTCTTGAAAAACGTGCTGTTGCTGTTGCTGCTGCTGCTGTTGCTGCTGCTGCTGCTGCTGTTGCTGTTCGTGCTGCAGCAGCATCTGCAGCAGCATCTGCTGCAGTTCGGGTTGCTGCTGCTGCTTCAGCCTTCGATAGGCCGGAGGCGAGCCGCGGCTGCTGCGACATCCATGCCCCTGCTGCTGCTCCTGCTGCTGCTGCTGCTGCTCCTGCTGCTGCTGCTGCTGCACCAGCTTTCTTAGTGTGGGGGAAGGGCGGATAAGCGCTGAAGGCATCAGAGGAAGTTCGGGTGTCTCACCACCCGCAGCAGCAGCAGTAGAAGGCAGCTGCTGCTGCTGCCGGTGTTGCTGCTGCTGCTGCCGGTGTTGCTGCTGTTGCTGCTCGTAGCGTTGCCGTTGCTCCTGCAGCAGCTGCTGCTGCTGCAGTGTTTGGATTTTTTTTGTTTTTGTTTTTTGCTGCTGTGCAGGCGAAGCGGATTCGTATCGCCTCGCTGCTGCTGCTGCTGCTGCTGCTGTTGCTGCTGTTGCTGCTGCTGCTGCTGTTTCTGCTGACGTTGCTGCTGCTGCCTCTGATTCGGAAGAGAAACGAGTGCCGTAAAGAGGGCTGCAGCTGCTCTGCATGTGCTGCTGCTTTTGCTGTTGCTTTTGTTGCTGCTGCTTTTGCTTCTGCTTTTGCTGCTGCTTCTGCTGTTGCTTTTGCTGCTGCTGCTGCAGCAGCAGCAACGGCGAAGCATCAGGAGATGTTTGTGGGCAGGTGGAGGGTGTGTCATCTTCATCTGTTTCTGCTGTTTTTGTTGCTGCTGCAGCTGCTGCAGCTGCAGCGGCGGCTGCTGCTGCTGTGGCTCTCGCAGCCCGAGCTGCTGCTGCTGCTGCTGCTGCAGCAGCATCAAATGCGTATGTCTCTCTTTTCACCGACGGAAGCTGCTGCACTGCAGCAGAGTTGCTGTCTCCTTTCTCTTGCTTCTCGTTTGCTGCTGCAGCAGCAACGCTACACCCTAAGACCCCAAGCGGAGGAATCTCTGGAAGCACCCTTGCTTTGCTGCGCCCAGGCAGCAGCAGAGGAGCAGCAGCAGCAGCAGCAGCAGCAGCAGAAGGACAAGAGATGGAGGCCGCGCAAGTTTCTGCTGCCCTGGCAGGCGTTGCTGCTGCTGCTGCTGCTGCTGGAGGCGCAGCAGCAGCAGCAGACCCCAGAGGAGAGAGAGAAGTATGGGGCGTAGCAGCAGAACCGCATGGCGACAGCAGCAAGGCAGCAGCAGCAGCAGCAGAATCTGCTGCTGCTGCTGCTGCTGCTGTCATGGAGGAGCTATTTGCTGCAGGTGAGGGGTCTGCTGCATCGTCGAGCTGCTTCGATGGCTTCAGCTGCAGCAGCATTTGCAGAGTTGCCTCCTCAGATTGCTGCTGCTGCTGCTGCTTCTGCTTCTGGTGCTGGTGATGCTGCTGCTTCTGCTGCTGCTGCCGCTTTTGCTGCTGCTTTTGCTGATTCTGTTGCTGATGCTGCTGTTTTTGCTGCTGATGCTGCTGCTGCTGCTGCTGCTGTTCACCATTTAGGGCCTCCCATTGCTGTGAAGTTCTCCTTCCGCCCCGGGCAGGCAGAGCTGCTGCTGCAGTTGCTGCTGCTTTTGCTGCTTTTGCTGCTGCTGCTATTTTTGCTGCGGCTGCTACCTTTGCTGAACGCGGTGATGCTCCTTCTGGTGAAGCTGCTGGGGGCGAAGAGAAGACCTCGTCAGGCAGCAGGACACCTGCAGCAGCAGCAGCAGGCCTGGGCCCCTTGCGAAGCAGAAGATCATCTTCAAGGACCCTCCTTCGTAGCAGCCTCTCATGTTGTGTTGTGCTGCTGCTGCTGCTGCTGCTGTTGCTGCTGCTTTTCAGTGAATTGGGCGCCGGGGAGACAGCCTTAATCCTTCGCGCCGCTGCTGCTGCTGTGGCTGCTGCTGCTGCTGCTGCTGGTGTCGGTGGCGTTGTTGCTGCTGGGGCTTGTACGTGCTGCTCTTTGGGGGAGGTGGGTTCCTCGGGCTGCCGTTGCTGCTGCAGTAGCAGCTGCTGCTGCTGCTGTTGCTGCTGCTGCAGCAGCCGCAATTGAGGTCCTGCGGAGTGCGAGCGATGAGAACGAGATAGAAGACGTTTAATTGCCTCCATTGACGAAGTGGGGAGACCAATGGTGTGACCAGTGGTCTTCTTAACTGTCTATACACCCCGCGTTTGTTTGAGAGGGAAAACAGCGAAAATAAAAGAAAATAGAATTAATATAATTAATTATAATTATAAAAATTAATTATTTATTTAGTTTAAACAAAAATAATTTTTTTTTCAGAGGCGACAGAACAACTGACAGAGCGAAAACACAAAAAAAAAAATTTAATTTTTCTGCATCGTCAATACACCGAAATTAATTAATAAATAATTTAATTAATTTAATTATTTATTTATTTTAATTTTACTTCAATAAAGTCATCTCTCTTCAAGTTTATTTTCAGAGTGCTGGGGGCCTCCGACCGCAGCAACAAAAACGGAAGAGAAATTCTTCTGTTATATTTTTTTGTTTTGTTTGTCTTTCTATTTTATTTTATTATTTATATTATAAATTAACATTTGCATTGTTATTATTATTATTTTATTATATTATTAATATTATTATTATTCTTATCCTAACATCATATTATTTTCGTTGGTGTTGTTACTGCTGCTTCCTCCGTTATCATCTATCTGCTAAGACATTGCTATAATATACACATTTATATGTATATATATATATATATATATATGTATAACTATATGTATGTATATATACATATATATATGTGCATATATATATATATATATACATATAGTTATACATATATATATATATATATACATATATATGTATTGTCTTTGTCGTCTTTGTTTATTTCTTCTCCTCTTTGTTTTTTATCTTTCCTTTTACATATAATGCGGCGGGATTGTCTTTGATTGCTTTGCTGCAAGAAGATATTTTATTATTATATTTATATATTTTGCAGTGTATGCTCAACTCTCCTGCTATCCATACACCTGAACCTACTTATCTACTCCTTTGCTGCTCTGGCTAATAGCTACCTGCAGCAGCAGCAGCAGCAGCAGCAACGCTTCTTCTTTGTTGCTGTTGCTGCTGCTGCTTCTGTTGCCGCTGCTACTTCTGCTGCTGTTGTTGCCGTTGCTTCTCTTCCTGCTGTTGCTGCTGCTTCTGCTGCTGTTATTGCTGCTGCTGCTGCTGCTGCTGCTGCATTTGTTGCTGCTAACGTTATTTTCTTTTAATTTGTTTTATATGACGACTGCAGAAGCAAATAAAGAAAAGAATATCTTCACGCTGTTACTTAAAGCAGCAGCAGCGCAGCGCGCCGATGCACGTAGTCAAACAAACAAACAGACAAATAAATAAATAAATAAATAAATAAATAATGTCGAACAAACAAACGAAGGTGTATAAATAAATAAACTCTCAGAAGCAGCTAGCGGACTCTATTTGTTTATCTCCGCTGCTGCATGCAAAACCGCAAACTCTCCCCAAAACTGGTTAGCTAGCTAGCTAGCTAGCTAACTAACCAGTCAGTTAGCTAGCTAGCTAGCCAGTTAGCTAGCTAGCTAGCCAGTTAGCTAGCTAGCCAGTTAGCTAGCTAGCTAGCCAGTTAGCTAGCTAGCTAGTTAGCTAGCTAAGCCATTCATTAGCCTAGCTAGCGAGCTAGCCAATGACCTAGCTAGCCAGGTAGCTAGCTAACTAGCTAGCTAGCTGAGGGGCCGGGGAGAAGAAGAAGCAAGAGACAGCAGAAGCGACGGCTGACTGTCTCCTCAGTTTATTGCTGTTTGCTCTTCATCTCTCCCTGACGCTGTAGCTGAAGTCATGAAGCAAATGCGTAGGGTTTAGGGTTTAGGGTTTAGGGTTTAGGGTTTAGGGTTTAGTAGGGTTTAGTAGAGTTTAGTAGGGTTTAGTGGGGTTTAGTAGGGATTAGTAGTGATTAGTAGGGATGAGTAGGGATTAGGAGGGTTTAGGGTTTAGGGTTTAGGGTATATGAGTGTTGATAAGGGTGTATATAATAAGGGTTTAAAGACGTGTAAAGGAGTTGAAAAGGACTGACAAGAATAAACGACGATAAATAAATAAATATTATGAAGCTTATTCTTCTTCTTCATCCGGTATGCTGCCTACTTTAGCAGCAACTGCTCTTAAACTGCTTATGTCAGCCTTCTTCTCTAGTTTAGAGAGAGCTTCTTGAATTGTTTGCTCCATAGTAGAGAATTTTTTTTCTAGGAGAGTTATATTATCAACAGTTTCGTGCATCTTCTGCATTTGGTCTTGTGTTTTCTTTAAGTTCGCCTCAAGCTGCTGTGCTGCAGCAGCAATTTGATTAAGTTTAGCTGTTGCAGCAGCAGCAGCAGCAGATACATCATCTATCTTTGTACTGGTACTTTGAATATTCTCTTGAAGCTGTTTTATTGTTTCTTTAACTGATGATGCCTCCTTTAAAGATAGATTTACATCTGTTCTCATACAACTAACTTCTTTAATTGTTTTGTGCATTTCTTGACTTAAACCGCTCAAAGAAACTGTCGTACAAACCGGTGCAAGTCGGTACACATCTGCACAAGGATAGCCTGTAGCAAAACAAACAGCAGCAGTCTATTTATTTATTTATTTATTTGTTTAATTTGTTTGTTTGTTTATTCATTCGCTTATTAATTTACTAGGTTATTAGTTTATTATGTTGTTATTTAATATACAATTTATTAGATAGATGCATGTATGTATATGTATATATATATATATATATATATCTATATATATGTATATATATGTATATATATGTATATGTATATGTATATATATATATATATCTATATATATGTATATATATGCATATATATATATGTATATATATGTATATATATATATATATATATGTATATATATATATATATATATGTATATATATCTACATATATATATATATATATTATATATATTTGCATTTTCTACGCCTCCAAAGATGAAGATAATAATAATAATAATAAACCACTAATAATAATAATTAAATAAATAAATAAACAAATAAACAAATAAATAAATAAATTAATTACTTAATGAATTAAATACCTCTTTGATCTGCACCTCCAAAGATGAAGATAATAATACTAATAATATACTACTACTAATAATAAATAAACAAACAAATAAATAAATTAATTAATTAATTAATTAATAAATAAATGAATTAAATACCTCTTTGATCTGCACCTCCGAAGATGAAGATAGCTCTGTTAGCAGGTAGAACAGTGAGACTGCCGACGTCGGTGTGACAGCCCAAGTCGTCAGGATTTACGTCGCACCGGAACCAAACTTTTGCGCCGAAGTCAAACACATAAAAATCTGTAACGCAATACACAAGTTATATATATATAGATAGATATATGTATATATATATATATATATAGATAGATATATATCTATATATAGATATATAAACATATATATATCTATATATCTATATAGATATATAGATATATAGATATATATATATCAATCAATCAATAGACCAATAAATAAATAAATACATCAATAAATTAATTAATAAATAAATAAATTAATTAATTTATTAAGTCAGATTAATATCCCAATAACTTCACTTGAAGATTTAGGGCCTAGGGTTTGTTGGTTAGGGGTTCAGGTCTAAAGTTCAAGAATTAGGGTTTAGGGTTTAGGGTTTAGGGTTTAGGGTTTAGGGTTTAGGGTACCTGACATGACGTAGTTTTTAAACCAGCCGGCATAAGTGCCTCCAATAATCCAAAGGCGATTATCAAAGAAAGCCGCTGCGTGTCTGAACAAATAAACCCCAAACCCTAAACCCTAAACCCTAAACCCTAAACCCTAAACCCTAGAGCAGCTGAAAAGAGTTGGCGTGGAGAAGGGGAATGAATAAGCAAAAGAAAGATAAAATTAAAGCAGCAGAAGCAAATTCAATAAAACAAACAAACAAACAGACAGACAAACAAAACAAGTTTCACACAACAACGACAGCAGCAAGCGAGCTGCATGAACAGCAGCAGCAGCGGCAGCAGCAGCAGAAACAGCAGCAGTATGATCGACAACAGCATGATCATCATCATCAGCAGCAGCAGCAGAAACAGCATCATCATCATCATCATCAGCATCAGCAGCAGCAGAGTTACATCAGCAGCAGCAGAAGCAGCACAGCTACATCAGCGGCAGCATCAGCATCACCAACAGCTGCAGCAGAAACATCAGTGGCAACAGCAGCAGTCCATTATCAGCTTCAGCAGCAGCAGCAGCAGCAGCAGCAACTGCAGCAGCAGCAGCACTATGTTACCATCTTCATCAGCCGCATCAGCAGCAGCATCAGCAGCTGCAGAAGCCACAGCAGCAGCACTACATTACCATCTTCATCAGTAGCAACAGCAGCAGCAACAGCAGCAGCAACAGCAGCAGCAACAGCAGCAGCAACAGCAGCAGCAACAGCACTCCATTATAACCACTATCATCATCAGCAGCATCATCAGCATCAACAGCATGTGCAGCAGGAGCAGCAGGAGCAGCAGGAGCAGCAGGAGCAGCAACAGCAGCAACAGCAGCATCAACAGCATGAGCACCAGCATCAGCAGCGTCAGCAGCATCAGCAGCACCAACAGCACCAGCAGCATCAACAGCAGGAAGTGCAGCAGCATCAACAGGATGTGCAGCGGCAGCAGCATCAGTAGCACCAGAAGCATCATCAGCAGCATCAGCAGCAGCATCAACAACAGCATCAGCAGCATCAACAGCAGCATCAGCAGCAGCAGCACCATAGACATCCTAATCTGCATCATAATTTACACCATCAGCCTCGTGACAAATATAATAATAATAACAATAACAATAATAATATATACATATATATAAACATATATATATATGTAATATATATATAAACATATATATATAAACACACACATATATATATATGTAATAAATATATATAAACATATATATAAACATATATATATATATATATAAACATATATAAACATATCCATATACATATAATATATATATATATAAACAAACATATATAAACATACATATATATATAAACAAACATATATAAAATATATATATATATATATAAACAGACATATAAACATATATATATATATATATAAACATATATATATATAAACATATATATATAAAATATATATACATATAAACATATATATAAAAACAGATATATAAACATAAACATAAACATAAATATATAAATAAAGATAGAAAAAGAAAATGAGTTTACTTCCATCTGGGTGCAGGGGGTTCTCCGGCGAATTGATCTACGATGTCCCAGGCGTCTTGATTAATATCATAGAGCCACAAGTCATTCTCTCCTTTGCCCGTGCCCGATATATCTCCTCCGAAGACAGCTACATAGCTGCGGCCCTCTATCTCGCAATAAGAACCCGAGTGACAGCATCGAGCACTCGGCGCTAAGTCTTCTGATGCACTTGATAATGCCTTCCAGGTGTCTGCAGCATATTCATTTCGCTTGCATGCATACTTATTTATACACTTACACATATACTTACAGCACAATGACAGCTGCAGCAGCAACAGTGATAGCAGCTTGAGAGCAGCAGCAGCAGTAATAGCAGCGTGAGAGCAGCAGCAGCAGTAATAGCAGCGTGAGAGCAGCAGCAGCAGTAATAGCAGCGTGAGAGCAGCAGCAGCAGTGATAGCAGCGTGAGAGCAGCAGCAGCAGTAATAGCAGCGTGAGAGCAGCAGCAGCAGTAATAGCAGCTTGAGAGCAGCAGCAGCAGCATACGCATAAGCAGCAACATAAGCATAAGCAATAGCATAAGCAGCAGCAGCAGCATAAGCAGCAGCAGCATAAGCAGCAGCAACAGCATAAGCAGCAGCAGCATAAGCAGCAGCAGCATAAGCAGCAGCAGCATAAGCAGCAGCAGCATAAGCAGCAGGACAAGCAGGATTAATAGATGAAAGTACGAGAGCTGACTTTTCTCGAGTACATAAGCATCTTTTAATAATCGTCCGTCTTCTCCTTGCCCCCCAAAAATGAGCAGTTTATTTTGCTGCTGCACATACACCGCAGCATGAGAATGTCGTGCAGGAGGTGTATTAGAAGACTTGAACGGTTTCCAGGCTCTTGTTTTTAAGTCGAACGCCCAAGGGTCGGCTAGCACTTCATTAGCTTCTCCTCCGACACCGCCAAACAGCAGCAGAGATAAACCGTCTCCTTCTGCTGCTGCTGCTGCTCCTCCTGCTGCTGCTGCTGATGAGCCTTCTGCTGCTTCTGCTGCTGTCCTCCACAGTGTTAACGATGAACAGCGACGAGGCGCCGGCATTTCGCCGTTCGTCTCCACCAATTCAAAGCTGAGGCATCATATTAATGCATTTATCAAATATTATTATTATTGTTATTGTTATTATTAATTAATAATTATATATATTATATATGTTATATATGTTATATATTTATTTATTTGTTTGTTTGTCTGTTTGCTTGTGTGTTTGTTTTATTTGTTCATTCATTCACTCATTAATTATTTAAATTAGTTAATTAAATTCTGTCATTAGTTAATGCATATATATATGTTATACACAAATATATATATATATATATACATATATATTATATAAACAAATATATATATATGTATATGTATGCATGTGTTTGTGTAGATATATTTATGCATGTATGTGCTACAATATATAATCATAATATATGCAGATATACATGCATATACAATATATATACATATAATATATATATATATACAGTAAAAAGCCTAGAAAAGAGTTGATAGTGAATACCTGTTAGCATTGGGCTCGAATTTGATGAGAGTTGATGTAGCAACCTTTTCTTCATCTTCACCGCCAAAGATATATATAATACCTCTAGCCTCGAGCACACAATGTCCGAGTCTAGGAGTGAAGCACTGACAATCATGAACAACTTTAGATATGAAAAAGTCTGGAGGAGAAAGAACGCCTCGGGCTCTCTCTAAAGAGCGTTGACTACGTGGTGCTGCTTTCTTTGGTGCTTGCTGCTGGTCTTTCTTGCTGCTGCTGTTGCTGCTGCTGCTGCTGCTGCTGCTCTTATGTTCATCCGATGCAGAAGATCCACTACCCTTCTTCTTGCTATCTCCATCTGCTGCTGCTGCGGCTGCTGCTGCTGCTGCTGCTGCTGCTGGACCTGCTGCTTTTGGTGCACCAGCACCACCCCCCAGCCTCCCCTTTTGACGAGGTGGAGGTGATTTAGGCGTCTGGGGTCTATCCAATTCAGATTCACTGAAATCCGATATATCGCTCATCTTGAATGCAAAACAAGAAGAGAAAAAAAGAAGATATACTCCCTCTATACAAGCAGATCGCCACAGCCGACAGCAGACAAACGCCTGAAACGGTTGAGACTTCCTCTTATATAATTACAAAAAGGAAAAAGAACAGAAGGAAAAAAACAGAAAGAGAGATTTAAAAACAAAGAGTTGCAACAACTACAACGCCTTGTGCGTGTGTGCGGCAAGAGCTATAACACTGCTAGAGAAAGAGAGGGAATGAGGTAAATGGAGAAGATTTCTTATGAACAAATCCATTTAAAAGTACTTTATTTCCCTTTTAATGATATATTTAACACTAAAAGCTGCAAATTTCCTCCAACTTTTTCAGGTTTCCACACCTGCAGAAGCTGCCGATACACCGCAGCTGTAGCGAAGGAGAGCGGACGGAACTCCGCAGTGCAAGAGAAGGTAAAGATAAAAGAATACACCCTCAATCAAATATAAATAGACAAATACAATAAATATACTCTTTTATTTCCAATTTTTATTTAAAATCTTTAAACAAGTACACAGAACTGGCGTGCAAGCTCCCTCCCTCTGCTGGTTCGAGCGCTCCACACAGCATCGCCCATCGCCCCCGCGCACGGAAAGAGAGCTGGATAAAAAATAAATATTTTAATTTTAAAACATCAATTAATTCAGAATAAACACTTTTATATTATGTATCATGCTTTTTATCCTCTGAAAAACCCAACAACGACGCACTTCCCCCCTGGCTAGTCGAACGAGCGGTCGGCATCGATGGTAGAGCACTAAGGCTATTCAATTTCTTCTTCCTGAAGAACAAAAGATATTTTAATAAATTATTATGTTCATCTACGCAATTATAAAGCACTAGGTAGACAAACAATAAGGAAAAAGAACGATAATCAGGGAAAACCCTCCATAGCATCGAGGTGTATACACTGATGTGGCGGTCTTACGCATTCTTCGTACTACACTTTGAGCCAAATACGCCCAATATAAGGGTTAAAACATTGAATTTTCTTTGATTATTTATGCAAATTATAACAAAAAAACCATAATTCGTCTATTTTAACCAGCTTTATTAGCTGCATTCAGGAGAAATCATTGTTGAGGGGTGATGAGTTTGCTTTGTGTGTTCTGCTGGAGATACACTGCAAGCTCTGCTACTGTTTAAAGAAGCCTCTTTTTTCATTTATTTTAAAATTCAATTATTAGAATAATTCGTTTAAAGACATTTTGCTGAAGAGCGTGGAGTTCTCCATAGGAAACCCTCAAGACGGCATGCAAGTCGATGCTTTTTATGAAGAACAAATTGCTTTGTTTAGATTTTGATTAAAAACAAAACAAATAAAGTATTTAAACACCAAAAGACAGTGAAGGAGGCATATTAATGCGTCTGTTAGCATCATATACACCCCTCATGAATCAAGTGTAGCATTTCTATCTACTCCCACCAACATAAAATATTTAAACACACTTTAAAGTCTAACGTGTAGCAATAGACATAAAATTATCTATTTTATTTCTATTGCTAAGCTATCCTTAGGTTATGTATTACCATGCGGTCAAATCAACTTCTGGGGGTCTACTGTAATTTGCAATCTTCATTATCTTTTTCTTCTAACAGAGCAGCATAGCAGTAAGTTCACGGCTGTAGCAGCCTATTAATAGGCAGCTCATCAGATGTGCTGACAGCCTATATAATATATATACATTTATATATATAGATAATATATATATATATATATATTAGTGTTTATTTGCATCTCAAAAGTAATACGCACATCTTCAAGCTGTTGAGTTCAGACTCGCCCCTAAAGGAACAACGTAGAGTCGTCATCGCCACTAATAAAACCAGCCTTCATGCATGCATGCATGTATGCATGCATGCATACAGGAATGCATGCATACATGCATGCATATGCATGCATGCATGCATGCAACTATGACCACCGCAAATAAAGCCCCATTCCATGATGCATGCATATGCATGCATGCATGCATGCATGCATGGAAGAAAGCAAGAAGAAGAATAGTAGTTGAGTGTTAATGTGTCATTCTATGCCCCCGAAAAATATACATATAATACATATACATGCATATATATATTAGGAGCGAAGACAGACAAACAGCAAAAAAGCAGTTTGTCTTTGTTGAATTCGCAGAACAGAAAACTAAAAACAAAATTAAAAGAAGGCTCAGCTGTTAGGTCTCCTCACCCGCCATACACCAGCCCCTATTAAAATAACAAACACCACCACCACCACCACAAGCAGCAGCAGCAGCAGCAGCAGGAGCATCAGCAGCAGGACGAGCAACAGCAGCAGCAGCAGCAGCAGCAGCAGCAGCAGAAGCAGCAGCAGCAGAAGCAGCAGCGCTCTAAGATGCTGCTAAGCGCATGCATGCAAGATAGCCGTATAAAAAAGATATTAAGAAGGAGGCGGCTGTTGCATCATTGCAGATGGAGGAAGACTCTGTGAATTTAAGACGCTAGGATCGAAGGGTAAGCCCTTAAACGGTGAACCCTCAGCATTCCATGCTTCTCTTAATATTTTCTCTTGCTGCAGCTCTTCAGCCGTCTTTAAACCTAAGACAATTATAATAAAACAAGCACCAACAGAATAACAAATAAAATCGCTTCAAGACAAACTAACGACTCTTAATAAAACTAACAAACACACACACAGCAGCAAGAAGAGAGGAGGAGAGAAGCCCCAAACAAAGCCCATAAACAACAACTTTGCATGCAACTAATAGCGATGATAGACACAAAACGAAGAGTCTATGCGCCTATTCTAGAACCGCATCTGTGTAGCTAGCTATTCAGCTAGCTAGCTAGCTAGCCACTAAACCCTGTTTTTAGCCAGTCAGCTTCTCTGCTAGATAGCTAGCTAGTAAACCCTGTTATTTATAGCTTATCATCTACCTAGCTAGCTAGCTAGCTAGCTAGTGAATCCTGCTGTTAGCTAGTCTGGAAAGCTGAAACGGAAGAAGAACTGACCCTGCATCTTTTGTCTTTGTTCAAAAACAATTTTTCTAATGTGCCCCTGCGTCGCATCATCGAAGTCTTCTACCCGCTTCACCGACTCCACCTGAAAAACAAATAAAGAAAAAAAAGAAAAGAAAAATAACAAAACAGAAAAAGAAAAAGAAAAAGAAAAGAAAAGAAGAAGAAGAAAAGAAGAAGAAGAAATATGTCAAGAAATGAAAGAAAGAAGAAAATAAGGAAGCAAACAAAAAAGAAAAATAAATTAAAAAGAATTGAACAAAAAGAAGAAGAGAAGGTACCAAAAGGATGAAATAAAAAAAGAGATGAAAAGAAAAAAGAAATAAAATAAAATGAAGAAGTGCAAAGGAAAAGAAAAAGAAAAACAAAGAAAAGAGAAGTATGTAAAGAAAAAACAAAAAGAACTGCAGATCAAACAGAGACAGACAAATAACAAATTATACAATCCACTTCTTGCTTAGTTGCCGCTTCGTCTTTGTTTATATTTACACACGAAAATATATTTATAACATATATATATACATATATTATATATAAATATATATATATATATATATATTACATATGCATACTATATGTAATGCGCAAGATATGGATTCTATACAGTAATATGTATATATCAGATGTGTATTAACACCCAATGTAATATAAATATATATATATATAATATAAATATATATATATATATGTATACGATAATCATGTAATGTAGTAGAAGAATAATATATAGCATTTACTGCATATATCTATATTATATACATAATACAGATACTATTGTTCACATCATACATATATATAAAAGGTAAAATATATATAGCAATATATATATAATATATAAAATATATAATATATATTAATATTATATACATGGGTACTACTATATATATTAATACACATATATATATATATATACGTATGCATATATATATATATATATATTTATATGTATATATATGATATATATATATATATATGTGATATATACATATATATATATATGTATATATATATATATATGCACATATATATATAATGATATATATAAGAATATGAATAAATTACCTTGGAAGTATCAATGGTTGGGTCTCCCTTGATGAGAGACTCCCACCAGAGCTCTTTCTTTTTCTCTAAAGTCAGCAGCAAAGTTGTGCGTTGCTCCAACACCCAGAAGCTGTCGCTGGCTTGAATGCAGTGGCACCACTCTCCTTCAAACACGACTCTTCCTGACGCGATGCAGCAGCAAACAAAGCAGAAAAAAAAGAAATAAATTCAAATAGATACCATATATATATAAAGAGCATTTATATATATATATATATATATATATAGAGAGAGAGAGAGAGAGAGAGCATTTATATATATATATATATATGCTCTTTATATACAGTTGAGTTATATAAACATCTATCAACGAAATAACAACACAATTCTTCCGCGCTGACAAACGCTGAAATTCAAACACAATTGGAATGCTGTTGTTGTTGCTGCTGCTGCTGCTGCTGCTGTTGCTGCTGTTGCTGCTGCTGCAGCACAGCCACCTGATAGCCAGCAGGAGCAAATGCAATCAAGGAAGCAGAAGGATAGACAGCAGTAGAAGCATAAACAGTTTGCTGCTGAGCGCAGGCTGAGGTGTATGAAGAGCGCAGCAGGGTAAAGAAGACGTCGGGGGCATCGATGCGTTAGTTCGGCCCGATTGATATATTTGCGTTAAATGCATTAATCCTATTTGTTGTCTTTAATGCATTTGTATTATTTGTTTATAGTTGGTGTACTTCTATTAAATAGAAGAAACAAACACAAACAAAAAACAACCTCAGCACTGCGTACCTTCATAAGCCACTTGGATTGAATCATCTCGCAGTCTGACTGACAGCAGCCGCGCATTCACTTCACTGATCTGCTGCTGCTGCTCTGACTTCTCCCCCTCCTTCTGCTGCTGCTGCTGCTGCTGTTGCTGCTGCTGCTGCTGCAGCAGCAAATCAAGGAGGCGTATTTGGCAAGTGACTTCATTGATGCTCTGAGACCAAACGTAGCGATCGAGCATTGCCCCATTCCACGGATTTATAAACGTCACCTTCTTTCCCGCTACACCTGAAGGCGCGCTGCTGCTGCTGCTGCTGCTACTGCTGCTGCTGCTGCTGCTGCTGGCTGCTGCTGGTTTATCTGGTTTTGAATGCTGAGATTTGTGATGCGAGCCGCCCGTTTTCATCCCCCCGTTTTCTCTTTCTGTCGTTTTGTGTGCACTAAAGGAATCAGCAGCTGCGCTTTTTTTCATTGTTGCTGCTGCTGCTCTTGCTGCTGCAGTTGCTGCTGCTGGTGCTGGTGCTGATGCTGATGTTGTTGCTGATGTTGCTGCTGCTGGATCTGGCTGCTCATGGCTGCCCATGTCTGGAGGCGCAGCGAGCACGGCGAGTCTGCACACCGGGCTGGCGTACTGAAGTAGTTTTTGTTTTTGTTTAGAGTTATATTCCCTCGCAATGTCTTGTAGCTCCTTAACGCTTTTGTTGCGCAGTTGAGGTGGAAGCAGATGCGGCTGCTTTGTAGCTCTGTATTGCAGCTGCGCTCGGGCGAAGGTCTCTGCTACCATAGCCTCTGCTGCTGCAGGAGAAAAACCCATTGACGGGCCTCCTTCTTCTATAATATGAAAGAAGTCGGTGCGATTGCAAAGAAAGGAGAAAAATGTCTCTAATAGGGGCCCAATGCCCTCATGGCCTCGCGCCAGCGCCAGCAGAAGCCCCTCGTGATCCATTTGCGTTCGGACACGGGAAGGTGAAGGAAAAGAAGAAGAAAAGAAGAATTAAATAATAAGAGACAGAAAGACATACAAAAAAACCACAAGACGACGATCGAATCGTAATGGTTATGCGGATAATGGCTCATAAAGGACTTCGTCAAGCGCCAGTTGCTGTTTGTAGAATGATTCAAAGGAGTAGGCAAGTTTAAACAAACAAACAGCTTCTTGTCCTTTAAACAAATGGTACTAGTTCTTCTTTCTATCATTTGAACTACCATTTCCAGGGCGGAGAGGGTCACTCCAAAGAAGCTGCTTGCCGCGCCAGGACAGACTGACGGCCGCGGCCATGCATGCAGTCGAGGGCATCCGAATTCATCCCAACGGCTGCCGTATGCATGCAAGAGGCTTATTTTCTCTCCTTTCGACTTCTTTCTACTCTTGATTTCAGCTGTTTCATAGAACAACAGCAGCAGGGGCGAACGCAACCGCCACAAGAAAGGCTGCTGGCGCCAAGGTGGTGAAGGAAACGCCAACAACCCCTTGCAAGTCGAAAGGCTTCCTTCTCCTCTTCAAAAGTGAATAGCCTGTTTAACTCTTAACTCTCTGAAACGCTCCGACGGCTTCAGACTGCTTCTGTACGAAAAGGATCGCTCAGAACCCCGAAGATTCTTCTGTTTCCAAACTTTTCCTTGAAAAAATGGAATCCGAGTTCATTGCCCTAACCAGGGATGGCCTCGAGCTTTACAACGCGGCGCTCAGCACCGACGGCAAATTCAAAGTGGAAAAACTCAGAAGCATCGAAGGCGTTGAATCAGCAGAGTGGTCTCCTCAAGGCGACTTGGTAGGTGGGAAATAAGGAGTAAATGAAGAATGTCGAGGGATTCAAGGGGAGAATTCCCAGAAAACTACTGAAAAACAGCAATAGAGCACTTAAAATGAAGTACCGGTGATCGGACTCACGCACCGCTGAACCTGTTCAGGTGTATCTGCACCTCTGCAAATGCAGGTTGCTCTTTTTCGGAAGTCTTCGCCTCAAAAGCTGGAAGTTTTGGATGCAAATACGTGGGAGGTGTTACATACTGTAGAAGGGCGTGAGTTTCCCCACCTTTAGACTCCTGAACATCTTTTTTTGTTGGGTTTCCCTCGTCTGTCTTCTTTCAGTAGCAGCCACTTTTCAGCTTCCTCGCCATTGTGTGGATATTTTTCCTTTTTTCTGGTACTTCAGCCACGCCTGTCTCGAAGTTCTCCTTCAGTCCTCTTGGCAGTTATTTGTTGGTTTGTTTCCGCTTCGAGCCCAACCAATGTCCTGAGAACCTGCGGCTTCTGAAGGCGAACACCGCAGAAGAAGTGACGCGTTTGGCACAGCGAGGCGTCAGCGATCTCTCATGGCCACCTCTTCGTTGGACAGGAGGCGAGAGCTTTATGTGCCGCTTGGTGAGACCCGAGACAGAGAGACCAGAATGTTTCTATTAACCTCTTCGTATTTTATACGTGTTGATGCAGTGCGGTTTCAGCGCCATACAACCAGCATCTTCAAGGTGTCTCACAGCTGCAACAAGATAGAAGCAAACACGCTTGAATAGTATTATTACACCAGCACAAAAAGCAGTTGCCTTTCTTTTATTGATTAGCACTCAGTTCTCCTCCTTTTTGAATTAAATATCTTGGCTTTAAACGGCAGAAGAAGTACAAACGCAAATAGAAACAAGCACACTCATACATACCTTGAAAAGGCCTCCTACGACTGTTATGTTCGTCTGAAGCTTTGATTGTTTTTTATTGTGCTGCAATCTGTTTTTTTATAATTGTGTTTAGGTTAAAGGGGCGGTTCATGTGTTCACCAGGCAGCAGCTGGAGTCCGGCAGCTTCAGCATCAACAACCCCCTCATAAGAATTAATTCTCCTCGGGCCTCTGCCATATTTGCGAGTCCAGAGCCACCTCGCAACGCATGCAAAGACGCAGGAAAGGCGGCAGCAGAGTCGAAGCCAACCAGCAGCAACAGCAGCAGCAGCAGCAGCAGCAATGGTGGTTCTGGTGGCAGCGTGTACTGCGCGGTGTTCTCAAAGGAAACAAAAGGAGAACCTGCACTACTTGAGGTGTATGAACTTCATGAGAAAGGAGAAGCTACAATAGTTGCAAAGAAATCTTTCTTTCATGCACAAGAAGCTGACTGTCAGTGGGCATATGATGGGCGGGCTCTTCTTGTGAAGACGCATACTGACGCCAGTGATTTGACTTACTATGGATCCAGCGCTCTTTATTTTCTTAAGGTAAGAATACTAATGTTATTTTGTTTATCTCCTAGAGAGAAGGGAAGCAGTGAAGATTAGGAATAGCTTTTCTGCTGCTTGCTTGTGCTGCTGCTGCTGCATGCAACTGGTGCTTCGTTTCGCTGCTGCTGTTCTCTGCTGTTATCTGCTCCTTGCTGCTGTCTTCTGCTGCTGGTTAATGCTGTTTGCTGCTGCTACTGCTAATACTGTTTGCCGCTGCTGCTGTTAATACTGTTTGCTGCTGCTGCTAATGCTGTTTGCCGCTGCTGCTGCTAATACTGTTTGCTGCTGCTGCTAATGCTGTTTGCTGCTGCTACTGCTAATACTGTTTGCTGCTGCTGCTAATGCTGTTTGCTGCTGCTGCTGCTAAAACTGTTTGCTGCTGCTGCTAATGCTGTTTGCTGCTGCTGCTGTACAGTGCCAAGGAGGCTACGACTTGCGTTTGGTAGCAGCAGAAGAAGGGCCTGTGCATGCGGCTTTGTGGAGTCGGTCGACGATTGAATTCGTCGTCTGCTATGGCAAAGTGCCGGCAACAGTAAGCAGAAAAAACATCTTCTTACTTTCTTCGCTCTTCTTCTTCTTTTTCTTTTTCTTACTTTCTTCTCTCTTCTTCTTCTTTTCCTTTTTCTTACTTTCTTCTCTCTTCTTCTTCTTACTTTTTGCTCTCTCCTTCTTCTTCTTCTTCTTACTTTCTGCTCTTTCTCTTCTTCTTACTCTCTTCTCTCTTCCTCTTCTTCTTCTTTCTTCTTCTCCTCTTTACTTTCTTGTCTTTTCTTCTTCTCCCAGTATTCTGCACTGTCTCTGCATGGATGCATTTATGTTAGTTCATTGTTTATTATGTGATATTTCTTGTTTTTAAATTATAATTGAAGTGTTACAAATCATATATATATATATATTATATATCTATTTGTCTATTTTTCTTGTAATCTATATACCACTCTTTTTGTATGTCTATCTATATATATCTCTATATATGTCTATGCATCTAACTATATATGCGTACCTATATATATATATATATGTTATTTGTGTGTAGGTTGCAATGTACGACGGCAACAGCAAAGCAACATCACCCAAGTTTCGTTTAGGCGAAGGAATGCGCACATTTTTATCTTTTTGTTCTTTTTCTAAACTTCTTTTGTGGGGTGGCTTTGGTAATTTGGCTGGCGAAGTGGAAGTTTGGATGCCGAGAAAGAAAGGAATCGTAGGAAAGACTGTGGTGAGTATAGAAAGAAGATTGTTGCTGTTCGTCTTCATGTTTATATCTTTTTGTTTATGTTCTTCTTCATGTTTATATCTTTTTGCTGTTCGGCTTCATGTTATTATCTTTTTGTTGTTTATGTTCTTCTTCATGTTTATATGTTTTTGCTGTTTTTCTTCATGTTTATATCTTTTTGTTGTTTATGTTCTTCTTTATGTTTATATCTTTTTGCTGTTTTTCTTCATGTTTATATCTTTTTATTGTTTATGTTCTTCTTCATGTTTATATCTTTTTGCTGTCTTTCTTCATTTTTATATCTTTTTATTGTTTATGTTCTTCTTCATGTTTATATCTTCTTGCTGTTCGTCTTCATGTTATTATCTTTTTGTTGTTCTTCTTCATGTTTATATCTTTTTGCTGTTTATTTTCATTTTTATATTTCCTTGGTGTTGATGTTTATATTGGTATTTATTTTGATGTTGATGTTGATATCTTCTTGATTTTCTTCTTCATGTTAGTGTTTGTTTGATGTTTGTATTTGTATTAATACGTTTGTGATGTTCAATATTAATATCTTTTTATTATGTTGATGTTTATAATGCTGCTTACTTTGGTATTTATTTTAGTGTTTATGTTTATATTGATATTTATTTTAGTGCTGATGCTTATGTTGATATTTATTTTAGTGTTTATGTTTATATTGATATTTATTCTAGTGTTGATGTTAATGTTTGTGTGGTGCTGATGTTTATATTGATATATATTTTGGCGTTTATATTGATGATTATATTTCTATTTAGGTTTATTTTGATATTTGTTTTGGTGTTTATAATTATAATTGCACTTCTTTGAGTTATTTCGGTGTTTATTTCGATGTTTATTATTTATTTATTGGTTATAGTATTTTTCTTTTCTTCGCCGTTCCATATGAACAGCATTTATTCGATTAAGACATTAAAGACCTGTCTGGATTTCCACCTGCGTTGCTGCTGTTGCTGCTGCTGCTGTTGCTGCTGCTGCTGTTGCTGCTGCTGTTGCTGCTGGTGTTTTACTTCAGTCTCCCTCTGCAATATGTCAGTGGGCGTCTTGCGGCTGTTTTTTTATAACTGCAAATATTTCGCCACGTCTTCGCGTTGATAATCGAATAAGTGTGAGTTTGTTTTTCATAGATGTTTTGCGAAGCTTCAAAGAAAAATAAAACAAATCAATAAAATGCACAAAACAATTTACTGCTTCTTCTCCTCGTTCTTCTGTCATTCATTCGTCTGTTTCATGTGCTCACCCTCATATATATAATATATATATATATATGTATATATATATATTGCCTATATAGATAATATTACGTATATATTATATATATATGTATATATGTATATATATACACTATATATAATATATATACAATATCAATATTTGTATATTTTTCTTGTGGATGTATGTGTTGGTGTTATGTTTAGTTTTTCAGCCTTTCAGGCGCTCTTCTGCAGCGCGTAGACTTCAGTTGTTTGTACAGTGTGCAGTTCCGACCGCTAAGTGCAGCAGCAGCAGCAGCAGCAGCAGCAGCACAAGCAGCTTTGATTGAAAGCCTGCAGATATTTCCTCCTGGGAAGGCTCCGCTCGCTCCTGGCGCTGAAAGCGCCGCGTTCTCCACCACTGGACGATCACTCAGCGCACTCACGCAAAGCAAACTGGGAGTAAGTTTATTATATATATATATTTATATTATTTATTTATTTATTTATTTATTTATATTATGTATTATATATTTATTACTTTATATATATATATATATTGTGTAATATATATATTTTATGTATATATTATGTATGTTATATGTTATTTCTATTATCTATATTATTTAATTTTCGTTATATATATATATATATATATTATGTATGTCGTATGTTGTACATTATATGTTTAACGGATGCATCTCTCTGTGTTATTTGTATGCATGTGCAGTTTTATTTCTCTCTCTCTCTCTCTCTCTCTCTCTATATATATATATATATGAATTTATATTGTATATAGTGTATCTTATAGAAATATGAAGTTGTGTTTATTATGATTTGTTTGTTTCCATTGAGCTTACTGCGTTATATGTTATTACGTTTATCTTTATCTAATTAATAAATACTGATGCAAGTTATATCTGTTTAATATATATACTTTTTATGTTTTTCTTTTTCTTTAAACAGACAAGCGCTTCGTCTTCATCAGGAGCTTATAGGCCGCCTGCTGTACGCAACGCAACGCCTAAACTACCACCAGGTGCTGCTGAGCCTTCTTCTTCTTCTTCTTCTTCTTCACGCAGTTCAAGGAGAAGACAGAACAAAAAAAACAAAGGAGAGAGCTCTCCAGCAGAAGCAGCAGCTGGAGACAGCCCACAGAGCGTCGAGAGTGAAGAAATTAATCATCAGTCGCATGCAACAACTTCTGCTGCACCTGCTGATGCTGCTGCTCCTACTCCTGCTGCTTCTGCTGCTGCTGCTTCAGCAGCGACGGAAGGATCGTCAACGCAGCAAACCGCAGTATGTGTTTAGAGTATATAAATTAAACCTCTCTCTCTCCTACTCTCTCTCTCTCTCTCTCTCTCTCTCTCTCTCTCTCTCTCTCTCTCTCTCTCTCTCTCTCTCTATGCAGTTTATATTTAATTGTTGTTCTGCATGCATTTATTGTCTTATAATGAATAAAATAACAACAAAGACACTGAACAAGAGAAATTATATTATATTATAAAATAATAATAAATTATATTATAAATAATAAAGAAAAAGAAATCTGTTTAAATTATTTTAATTATTTTTTTCTTAGGATGATCTTCGACGCTCTATTCGCAATACTCGAAAAAAACTAACAGAGATAGAACGGCTGAAGGTAATATAAAAATATATGTTTATATTTATTATTTTACTGTATTTATTTTATTTATTATATTGTATATTATTTCTTTTTATTAAACTTTTGTACCATATTTTGTGTTGTAATGGAGTTATATTATATTATATTTGATTTTAAAAATTTTTTTTATTGTATATATAGTATATTTTGTAATTATATATTATATATATTATACATTATTGTGTAGATTATATAGATTCTATATATTTATATATTGTATAAATTGTATATATTGCATACATTATATTATAATATATATCATACAGATAATATAAATAATAAATAGCGAGGAAATGCATCTCTATTAGACGCCTACAGTATTGATACAGCTTTATTGCGTGTTTGTTTAAACGCTATTTAAAAATATATTATTTAATCAAACAAATCATAATAATGTTATCATTATAATACTAGTTATTATTATAATTATTATTATTATTATTATTATTATTTATTATTATTATTATTTTGCTGTGTTTCTTCTGTTTGTTATTTAAGGGGAGAGATGATTTAAATGACTTACAGAAAGCTAAACTAAACAACGAAGAAAATCTAAAAAAACAGCTCGCCAACCTTGAAGCTCAATTCAACGCATTAAACGTAAATTAAAAAAGCTGCTGCTGGAGCTGCAGCAACAGCAGCAGCAGATGTTGCTGCTGCAGTAGCAGCAGCAGCAGCTGTTCATGCTACAGCAGTAGCAGCAGCAGATACAACAACGAACAGC